AACCGCACCGAACAGATGTACGGTCATCCGATACTCTTCTAATTCCTTGGAGAAGTCACCACGGGGCCACCAAAGGAACCGTAGGAGGTCTCTATCTACTTCTGGGACACGCACCTGGTGGAACATAGATTGAACGTCACCCATGACTGCGACTGGCTCCTGACGGAAACGGATCAGCACGCCAACCAGATTATTGGTTAAGTCAGGACCTTGAAACAGCTCATCATTCAGGGAAGTTCCTTGAGAATGGGCTGAGCAATCGAAAACGACACGTATCTTATCCGGTTTCTTATGATGATAAACGCCGTGGTGCGGGATAAACCACACCTTACCATCTGATCTCTCCAGACATCCAGGGGAACCTTTTCTGCAAAACCGTCACCGATCACCTTCTCAAGACAAGCAACATAGTCCTCGCGAAACTTCACATCTTTGGAGAATTTACGTTTAAGATAGAGAGCACGGCGTTCTGCTTGACTCCGGTTTGCTGGCATCTGCAAGTTGAGGTCCCTTAACGGTAGAGAAACCTGATAATGACCATCTTCACACTGCATAACTGAATCCTCTACAATGTTCATGAACTTTAAGTCATCCCTTGACATGCTTAAACCATCGGAAAGAGTGGCATCTGCAAAATCAGCACATGCTATACACATAGGATGAGTCTCCTTACAGTTAACGAAGAAACTAGAAGATGGGACAAACTTTTGCTTTCTTCCAGTTGGGCCATTGATAACCCAGCCAAGATCAACTCTAGTTGCATATGGACCCCCATCAGAGGCAGGGACAACTTCTCTCGGTTGTAGGGCTTCAGGTACGTTTGCACCAATCAATAGATCCACCTCGGAATTCAATTCTGCTAGGTATACATAGCCTTGGAGGTGCGGCCATCGCTCCACATCCTCCTGTTTCGGGATCTCGTCTTTCACTACAGGCATAGAAGGTCGGGAAAGAACTTCTGGCAAGGAAATGACAACGTTCTCGTCTAGATCAGCCACTTCCAGGTTCGTAACAACGAGACTGTCCACATCGTTGCAGCTATCCATGGTGGTTAGCTTGAGTCTCATTTCCTTGCCGCAGACTCTCAGACGTCTCAACAGATTAGCCGAGCAAAAGGTGGTGTTAGATCCATTATCCAGCAACGCATAGGTCTCCACGGACCGAGGACTTCCTTTGACTTTGACCTTCACAGCAACAATGGGCAATGCAGTCACGGAACCTTCCATTGTGGTTAGGCCACAAAAGTGATCAGCTCTGTTCTTCTCAGTACTGGACTGGTTGTTCTCGCTCTGAGGTCCATCCTTACCACGGTCGGACGCAACAATAGCTTCTGGTGCACCTACATGCATTACAGTAGCGTGTCTCTTATTACAGTGAATACAGGGCTTCCTTTTGTGACAACTTCTAGACTGATGGCCTCCACCTAAGCACGAAAAGCATAGCCTCTGCTTCATGACAAACTCCTGACGATCTGTAGGAGGTACTTTGGCGAAACTGGAACATTCGGTGAGATTGTGATCTGCATTACAAAACAGACAGTTTTTCTTAGAAGAATGAACTGCACTCAACACATCAGCAGATGAATTGAGAGCAGATTTCGTCTCGGAAATCGTGACGAGGCTTAGCTGTTTTCTACCGGGTCTCTCAGACTTCGATCTCGAACCCCTATCCTTGCTGTTCTTCTTCTCCTTTTCCAAACAAGGAAGCTTGCCAAAAACTGGATTGGACAAGGTGCGAGCTTTCTGTTCAACGAAGAGTGAAATATCATCAATGCAGACATCTCTCGCTTCCGAGTGGAGGATCCGATCAGCGTTGTCCCGCCAACTGGCTTGCAACTTCGGGGGAAGCCTCTCAATAATCTTCCGCATGCTATCCGGACTTTCGAACTTGCTGGAATGGCCGATAGCCTTAAGAGTGTTTGTACAGCTAGAGAGCAAAACGGCAAAGCCTTCTAGGGCGTCTGCATCTTCAGCTTTGATGACTGGACCATTAGTGACTTTATCCACATATGCCATAGCGATTTTGTGCTTCTGTCCAAATTTGCTCTCTAAGAGTTTCTTTGCCTTTACGTACCCATCTTCGGCTTTCATGTAGAGGCAACTTTGTACCAACTCTTGAGCTCTTCCAGCTGTGTGCTGTTCGAGGTAATAGAGTCTCCCAGCGTAATCTAGTTCTCTAGTTTCGATTACGGTCTCGAACGCGCGAATGAAAGCACAGTAATGTAAAGGGTCTCCACTGAACACAGGTACACGTCTCCTGGGCAACAAGTTCCTTTGCTGCTGTTTCACGAACTCTTCCATTACTCGGTTCTGCTGGACGAGAATGCCATAGGCCTGGTCGCTCAGACCTGAGTTGCCAGAGCTTGAACTTGAATCACTCACAGCACCCTTATGATCTTTAACCGGGTTACTTGACTTCACAGACAATTTCTCTTTCTTATCGGCAGGTACAAATGACTCACGTTTTGAACCACCAGTCCTTGACTTTTCAGTGATGGAGGATACGACTGAAACGGGACAACGAGGATTCCTAGAGGCCACGTTGCTAGGCGCGAAATTACCCGCTTCAGCTTGAGCGTAAGCTTCTTCTCTAGCCACCGCTTTAGCGTACTCAGTTTTGAGGTTTAATTCATCTTTCTTCAACTGCAGGTCGTACTCTTGCCTCTTGAGGCGTAGCTCCGATTCCTGAAGCGAATGGCGGTGTTTCAAAGCGTGTGCCTCCGCTCGAAGTTCCGCGATGCGAGCTGCCTCTTTGGCTCTTGCAGCAGATATGGAGCTCGTTTTAGAAAAGTGACTCGTTCTCGATCCACACATGGATGGTCTAGACTTGCTACGAACCTCGGACCCAATTTGAGAAGCGCTGTCGTCAGGCGTTATCAGGTTATCTTGAAGCCTGGCTTCCGTGACACGTAACCAATCATTGACCGTACGGCAGAAAAAATCTAAACTGCTTTCAATGTCGGCGAAATAGAGGTCTGATTCTTGTCTCTGACTTTCCTCAACCAGAGCTACATTATACGCGTCATGAGCCTCGGTAAATCTTCGAAATAGCGACGTGATTTCCGACAGCTTTACTTTCACCGTCACCAAATTATTTTCATCCGTTAAAAGACTATCGATCTCTCGACGCTTGGACGTTAACGAAGACAACACTCCTCCTCTCCGCTTTCTGAGTTCACGGATGCGTTCAAGAGAGATTCCTTCTTGATCCAAAGAGGTATTCTGTTTACGAGCACGTGGACCGTTTTCGGCAGGTTGGCCGTTCTTCCCGGCCGAATAAGACAGGTAGACATCAGAACCGTTGCGAGACATCGTCATAAACTTCCAATAAACCAATTCGTCTTTTACAAAATATAGCCGCAAACGCTAATCACTCGTATTTCAAACTTTACTAGAACAAACTTGACACATTGTTGAATACGGTAACTGAAAATGACAAAATTACAATCACGCGAATGAGCATAAAGTAACTTACATCGTATGAGTGAAAGTACTGGAAAACGACAAAGCGAAATAAACAAGGATACTTACAAGACGAATGTGACCAAACCAAAGACGAAAACATGAAACCCAGAGCTAGATATGTAACGACAATTTTCGCAAACTAGACAACTAACCAAATAAATTACGCGCAACCAATATATATACCATATGCAAAATAAATATAACAAGTACAAAACTGGTAACTGACAAAGGACACTAATGGAAGACGAGAAAATAAACACCTAACACGAAACTATGAAACACCAACACTAACAAAAAATGATAATACAAATTCTTGCGCCTACAGAGACATAAACACAAATTGACTTTAGCCGTTTGCTTTCAAAATTTTTTGAGATTGCTTCTTTTGGATACTAATCTTTCCATCTTGCTGAATACGTCACGGTTACAATCGGTTTTAAAAATGAAAATATCTTGAGAGAGTTCGGCTGGTTTTCCGCTTACTCGACCGTACTGCTGCAGTCATTCCTCTCTTTCCATATCAAGGGCTTCAACTGGCTTTCTTCCGTGTCGTACCAGAAAAATGGAGATGTCACCGGTTCTTACCTTCAAGTTAGATGAGGTGGGAGAAGCTACAGTGAGGAACTCAGTTTGACTTCCTTATCGATTTTTTCAACATGTTGCCATCGCGCTGCCAAGACAGTAAGCTTTTGAAATTTAAGTTGAAAACCAATTGTTTTTACGATATTACATGGAAAAAGAGAGTTATTTGGCCTTAGTCTATCTTGGGAATGACCATTGGTTTTACAAGCTACATAATTATGAAGTCATCTGAGAACGTTTACTGTATGCCTGCAGTCTGCGTCTTTAAGTGAGGCCACCTTTTTAGGCGAGCTTTAGCAAACTAATGCGAGTGCGAAGAAAGGAGCGGTATGGTTTTACAAACTACTCTCCTAACGCGCTTCTCGTGAGCGTTCGCCTCGCGCGCGTTCGCCTCCCGCTTTCCTCGGCTCTCCTGTAAAAAGGTATCCATGCTTACTTCAGTTCTTGCCTTGCTATGCCACGCTATCGGACAAATTACGAGACCGAAGAGTATAAAAACTATCATAAGCAAAATTTCACACACACCAAAAAAAAAACAAAACAAAACAAAACAAATCTGGGGCAACTTAAACTAGTAACCTGTGTTTAGATGTGTTCAAGGAATATTGAAAAGTAGTATTAGTAAAATCTGTAATAAACAAGCCTTCAGACGTATCAGTAATTATAATAATAGGGAGGTGATCGTTCAATATTCTTCCTCACAAATAATTTGAAGCGGAGTTGAGTCCAAGTTCATTTTTTGATATAAGATTTCATGTTGTGGATGGTATTTCATAAAATAAATAAGCAAAATGCCAAATTATCAAGCACAGAACACTTGAAAATTACCTCGCCTGGTGAAAATCATATGCCAAATTCACTTCCTGTCCAGATCTGATAACAGTTTGTAATTATGTAATTGGATACATATTATCTCAACGTTAAATATTGACTAATTTTACTTCTTTTCAATTAATTGATTAAAAATCCAGTATTTCTTCATGGCCACTGCCGCAGCACCTTCGTTTCATTCGACAAAAGAGACAACCAATTACGCCCGCTTATGCAGGCTTCTGGTGGATGTTAGTGCACGTATCTTGAGAGAGACTTTTGAGAAGAGGCGTCCAACAGGAGACCTGCATACAGTTTTGTTAAGTCCTCCAGTTCATACAGTCTTACAACCACTTCGAAAGAAAGGAATTCTTAATCCTTCCCAATGGGGACAACTATATCCTAAAGCCATCAAATCTGCAGTTTCATCAAAGAATTTCGATATCACTCTACTGATGGTTTTGCTGAGGAATATATGCGGTCTTGGTCGTCCAGCTAAAGGCTGGGATACACTTCCTCCTGCAACAGACACAACCCTTGAGGCAGATATCGTTCGCATCAAGTTCTACAGAAACACAGTTTATGGTCATGCCAGCGAGGCCTCAGTTGATGAACCAACATTCAATCAATACTGGAAAGACATCCAAGATGCACTGGTGAGACTGGGAGGAGCTGGTTACCAAAGTGATATTGATGATCTGAAAAAGGAATGCATAGACCCTGATTTCGAAGAACACTCTAAAGAGCTTCTTAAACAATGGGTAGCGGCTGAAGTCAGCATCAAAGAAAGACTGGATGAAATGGCAGAGCACTTTGAGCACTTTGATAAAAGCCTGGATGAATTAAAGGATGCAATCGTTAGCCCTATAAAGAAACCGGGAGACAAAGGTATTGTTTGTTAACGGTTCAATCTGTGCACGGCATCATGTTTTACTGCATCAGCCATAGGGTGTTAACCTCTGAATCCTCAATTTATCAATTAAAGCAAGTTAAATCATGGACACACTTTGAAACTAATACCGACTGGAGCTTGGTCTTGACACATAAGACCATAGCAGTTTCAAAAACGCTATTTTTATAATAAAATTAACGCAACTCTTGTATTCCTCTCCAGCTGTTTCAGCATACACAAACGCGTTGAAAGAATCGATTAAAAAGCAAACAGAGTTCGTCAATGTAGCTTCTCCCACCTCATCTAATAAGGTAAGAACAGATGACATATTCACCAGCCTTCTGATACAACATGGAAGAAAGCCAGTTGAAGACCTAGATATGGAAAGAGGAGAACAACTTGAGCAGTACGGTCGAGTAAAAGGAAAACCAGTGGAACACTCGCAAGAAATTTTCCTTTCTGAACGTGATCGTAACGACGAAATGAATCCTAAATCTGTACTAATCACTGGGAAGGCAGGGATTGGGAAAACTGTCTATTGCCAAAATTTAATTCGAGACTGGGCTGACAACAAATTATTTCAACCACAAAGTAATCGAAACGTGCCTGACTTTAAGTTCGCTTACTTACTGACTTTTAGTCAACTGAGTTTGCTGGGAGATAAGCGTTTTACTTTGAGGGAGATCCTGAACCTATCTTCAGTGTTAGATGAACACTCAAATATCGACGACTTTTTATTTGAGTACATTGTTGGTCATTCTGAAGATGTTTTAATTATTCTAGACGGCTTTGAAGAGTATTCAAATCAAAATTTAATCGCTAGTGATTTGGATAACCGATATCCGAATAGCGCCCAAGAGAAAATGCCAGTAGCAGCACTGTGTGCCAAGCTAATTAAAGGAAAAATCTTGAAAGATTCGGTTGTCATGATGACGTCAAGGCCCGATGAATACGATCAAGTGAAAGGTAAAATACCCTTTGATCGGTACCTTGAAATTACAGGGTTTTCCGAGGAGCAGGTGAAGAAATACATTGAAAAGTATTTCAAAGAAAACGAAGTCATGAAAAATGCTGTAATGGATCACATCACAAAGAATGACAATCTTGTTAGCTTTGCCCATATTCCAGTTCTGTGTTTTCTGATGTGCTCATATTTTGAGTACATATTAAATGAATCGATGAACACTGATGCTCTTCCTGTCAGTATGGGTGACATCTATTCGGAAGTGATCAACATGTTTCTCAGAGCACATAGCAGAACGAAAGGAGCCCCTCCAGAGAAAACGCTGAATAAATTGTCAAAGTTAGCGGCTCATTTGCTCCGAAAAAAGAAGTATCTCTTTAGTGATGTTGACGACATGAAAAGGTTTTCTTCGGAAGAAGTTGAAAGCCTCAAAGCAAGTGGTCTCCTCCATTGCGGTCCACCGTTTAGAAAATCATTCTCTGAAACGACGAAATATTTTTGCTTCACTCACTTAACTCTCCTGGAATACTTGGCGGCTCGTTGGTTTGTGAAGCAAAGAGAAATTCCATCTTACACTGAAAATGCCTCAGGAATGGTATTCCAATTTATGTCGGGCATTTTATTAAAGCAAAACGACCAAGCTTTTATGCGCAAATTGCTCAGAGGACTCATTCAAAGGTCTCAGTCTATGCCTTCTGTAGGGCCACTAATATTGAAGTGTCTGGCTGAGTACCATGACAAGGAATTTGCCCTAAATTTCGTAAAGAAATTTTGTAGGCAGCTTATTCATTTTGATCAAATTATATCATTTGTAGAAGTGGACTGCATCGCAGTATCTTTTCTGTTAGATGTCATCAGTACATTCAATGCAAAAGAAAAGGATGAAATGAATCAACTAACCTTTCAACGGTCTCATAAGCCGTTAGGTAATCGACCAAATCTTTTTAGGCGCGTCGTGCCCTGTGAACAGGGAACTGTTGAGAGGAGTCAAACATCCTCGCACCAATCAATAGGAGCACCGCATGTATTGCTTCTCGTTGATTGTCATATTACACAAACTGGATTAAGACAAATATGTAAATTTCTGAAGAACGAGCTCTGCACTGTGACTTCTCTTGAATTTCGTTGCTGTTTAATGGCAGACGAATGTGTTGCTACGATTGCAGAATCGTTGCCATTGACCAAAGTCATTGAACTGTCTCTGGAAGGAAGTAAAATCACTGATGCCAGTGTTGCCAGTCTATGTCAAGCATTACAGACACCAACATGCAAAGTCACTGAACTTGATCTGAGTGATAATCGTATCACCGATGCTGGTGTTGCCAGTCTATGTCAAGCATTGCAGACGGTAGCATGTAAAGTCACCAGTCTTGATCTGAGTGATAATCAGATCACCGATGCTGGTGTTGTCACGGTCGGTCAAGCATTACAGATACCGTCATGTCAAGTCACCACACTTGATCTGCGTAGAAATCAGATCGCCGATGCTGGTGTTGCCAGTCTATGTCTAGCATTGCAGACAGCAGCATGTAAAGTCACCGAACTTGATCTGAGCCATAATCAGGTTACCGATGCTGGTGTTGCCAGTCTATGTCAAGCATTGCAGACAGCAGCATGTAAAGTCACCGAACTTGATCTGAGCCATAATCAGGTTACCGATGCTGGTGTTGCCATTCTATGTCAAGCATTACAGACACCGTCATGTCAAGTCACTACACTTGATCTGCGTAGAAATCAGATCGCCGATGCTGGTGTTGTCAGTCTATGTCAAGCATTGCAGACAGCAGCATGTAAAGTCACCGAACTTGATCTGAGCCATAATCAGGTTACCGATGCTGGTGTTGCCAGTCTATGTCAAGCATTGCAGACAGCAGCATGTAAAGTCACCGAACTTGATCTGAGCCATAATCAGGTCACCGATGCTGGTGTTGCCAGTCTATGTCAAGCATTGCAGACAGCAGCATGTAAAGTCACCGAACTTGATCTGAGCCATAATCAGGTCACCGATGCTGGTGTTGCCAGTCTATGTCAAGCATTGCAGACAGCAGCATGTAAAGTCACCGAACTTGATCTGAGCCATAATCAGATCACCGATGCTGGTGTTGCCAGTCTATGTCAAGCATTGCAGACAGCGGCATTTAAAGTCACAGCACTTCATCTGAATGGTAACCAGGTCACCGATGGTGTTGTCACTCTATGTCAGACATTACAGAGGGCGCAATGTCCAGTCAAATATTTGAACTTGTCTGGTAATTTTCAGATCACCAGTGGTGGTAAGAGGTGTCTCAAAAAGCTGTTAAAGCAACAACCCAATCTTTTTGTGCATGGATTGTAAAGAAAAACCTGAAAGACAAATGATCAGCAAAAGTTGTTTACAAAACCACAAAATTATCGAAACAGTGCTAACCAATATTAAGAATAGATACCTTATATACTTTTGAGTGATTTCATCTAGCACTAATATAAGTATCTTCCACAACATTTAACATGTAAGATATTTTCTATGATTGCAGCTTCCAGAAACGTTCCTAAAAAGAGACTTTGTGTAGACAGAACTGATGAAAGAAGACATAACGAGTGAATCTTTGTATCTTTGGACTGATGGCTTTTTTAGCAGCTAAGAGACGATTCAATCGCCAAAAAACTGATGACATTAATAACGATGATAATGACGCTTTTTAGAACGCTTTCTCTGCGAAATCGCTTGCGCTTGAGGAAACGGATCCAATTGTTAAGATTAGAATTTGTATTTACCATTATTCAGTCGCTGAACTTCCGTTTACATGTGCGCGGCTGGTTCGAAGTATTTATATGGAAAGCAGATTAGTGCCCATGTTCCAAGAAATTCTTTACCTGCTCGATGACAGGGTCTAAAAGAAATATAATATCAAGGCCAAATGTCTTTTATTGATGTCATGGAACATGCGTTTTTCTCATCATGTCAAAATCGTGATTAGACGCCGTTGTAAATAAACCATAAAAAGAAATTTTGCACTTTGTTAAATCTAGTAAACGATTACTATGTAAAATAACCGCTATGAAAAAGATTTAACTCACCATTAACGAGCTTTTCATAGGCACATTTTGCTGAGGTGTTCTCAGAGGAACCCTTCTGTGGTAAAAGCTTTCGTTTCTTAATTATGTAAAGCAAAGAAACAGAGGAAACCACTGTAAAGTATAGTCATTGAAGGGTTTAGGCCTGAAAAAAAAAATAGTTTGCGTGTAAGTTTTTTTTGTGGATCGCAGATTCGCCATTGGGTCAATATCCTGCCAAATTGACCTTTCACTTGGTCAATAAAGCATTTATATGTATTTGATTTGTTATCTTCTTGGAATTGTTTTTTTTTCAATCTCGAGCCCAGGGTCATTTCGGCTCATTTTCAGCGGTGCCGAAATGACCCTGGGCTCGAGATTACAAATCTTTTTGTCTTTTTCTCATTCAAAAAGTCCCAGTCCCCTTCGCGGCTGTCATACAATTCTCTCCTCAAAAGATCAATTGTCAATCCTTGTATGGACCAATCACTGATAGCCATCTATTTTGGGGAACCTCTCTCGCCAATTTCGCCCTCAATCATAATAAAAAAAAAAAAGGAAAAAAAAAAGAAAAAGAACAGAGACTCGTCGAACAGACACCGTCTTCTGTCGTTACCCACTCGTGGACAACAAATATCACAAATAAAGATGGGTTTGCTCCGCAGACGTTTGATTTTTGCCAAAGCTTTTGACATGAACAAATTTTCAATGGATAAGATTTGACCTGTCAGTACATTAGAAGACACAAGATATATCTCTACATGACAGAAAAGCTTTTGTTTGTTTACCGCTTGGTTATATTTTGGTGATGTGCTACATAACAGATACATCAACTTTTTGGCAGCTTTGGCACTTTATGCACTGGGACAGTGGCTGTTTATTACAGCTCTTAGTTCGTGACAGTGCCTTTACCAGCGAGAATTGGTCGGCCCCATGAGGTGAGTAAAAGTTTTTTTTTGCTATATTGATAGGTGATTCGTATTTGTAAAGCGACAAGATCACAATTTGATCGTTCATTTAGTGTTCAAAATAGCACTTCATTCGATGACATGCATCGTAAACCCATCGACTGCGAGAGAGGAAATGAAACTGCAATCAGCTGTAGAACTCAGCTGTTCAACGGTTTCTGGATGATAATTAATCGACTTATTAATTGGCCGACGATAGCGTGTAAACGCATGAGGACAGAGCTGTGGTTTTGTACCATGCTCATACTTGTGCACAGTGTTTCGAGAAAGATATTGTACATTTGGCACAACGATGGCGCAAAAGAAAAATCTGAGGGTTACGAGAGGATTCGATCCTCAGACTCTAAGACTTTGCGTTGGACTGCTCCAACCACTGAGCTCGTTAACGAGTCAGGCGAATCAAAGCACCCTGTTCAAATGTCACAGGCATTCTGCATAATCAAGTACAGTAGGATCAGTAATGTTGTATGCATTCATCGTAGAGTCATGTACTTATTAACAAATAGAGAAGCCTTGACTGTGCTCTGTTCTGTTAGAAAGCACGCAGGAAGCGGCTAGAGCACGAAAGAAGTGTAGGGAGAAACACGAGACGTAGTCGAGTGTTTCTTCCCACTTCTTGAGCGTGAATTAATCTTTAAAACTAGGACATCTATTTTGTTTTTCCTTTGAGGATTTTCGCATCTGCTCACGTTTTAATAACGTAAATTACGGCGCCTGGTATGTTTACAAACCTTTATTTGGTTCTTCTGTTGCTACTTGCCGGCTCGCTTGTTCCGAAACTTCACTTTCAATTATCGGAAAAAAGCTAAAAAGAAGTCCCGGAAAAGGTCGAACATAGTACAATTTGGCAGATGGCGTGACAGCTTTAGCTCAGTTCTATGCTCTATACTCTCATAGAGCACGCTCTTTCAACCAATGACAGCGCGCGTGGTACATGGTATTTTTTTTGTTCATTCAGAACCCTATAAAGAGCCCATGCAGGTTGACATAGCACTAGAGGGTGATTATCCTCCTTTAGAAGACAATTTCACCTTTGAATCTGCAACTCTGGTAGGAAAACCTTTACATCTGTCTTTGAGAATAACATAAATCTATTTTTTTCTATTAAAGCATCTCAGTGGGTCAGCATCTTACAGCTGTAAGTCCTCAAATAAGATTAGCTGGACACTCTTAAACAGTCTAGATTTTTACAATACAGACCAGAATTTTTTCTGTTTAACTTTTATTTGATACTGATATATGTAGAATAGCCCTCAGTTATGTGAAACAAACATTCAATGTCCAGCTTTATCAGGAGATTTTGACACAGATGACAGAAGCATGGTAAGACATTTGTACATGTAGGTTACTAATTGTAACCCTAAAGAAGTTTTGTCTTTTTTTCTTCTTGGATACCTTCTTGGAGTCAATTAGAATGTAGTATTTTACATTTCCATCAAAGTGTACCCTGGTGAAAAAGAAACAAAAATGTTTCTTTGGTGTTATTGCATTTGGTCTTATGTTCAGGATTTCATTTTGTATACAAGCTAATAAAGAGATAAATGATATGTCATGGGGAAACAATGCCTCAAAGTACACCTCTACAAAAACTTGTATATTAAATATATATCATTGTAAGCTGCAAGCACTGCCAATATTCAATCTTGCTGTGAGAAATCTGAAGTGTGGCTATATGTTTTGGCCCATCCACAAAGTTGGTTCTGTTACTTTGTAAATGAACTAATTTATATTCATAAAAGTAGGTATATGATGAGAGTGATTTCCTGGTATCAGCTTCTTTATACAATCTTAATCAATATTGCAGCAGCTGCAGTGAATTGGAATGCCTGGCTGTTGATGCCACCTGGATTGAAACTACAAGTTAAGAAGCCACCCTTAAGGTAATTTATCTTGGCTGTTTTGATGAGCAGTCACCTGCCAGCTTCCCTCAGCTGTTATTGAATGGTGACATTTCTCAGTCAGTGGAGCAAGATCTTAAATGTTTATTCCAAAGGAAGAGAAAAAGAAAAAAGCAACAACAACTCAGATCCACCTTAAGCACAAGTTAAACCTAAAGGACTATCCAGTTAGTATTTTGCATACTCTTCAAATGAAAGATGGAGGTACAATCCCATACCAATGTCATTAGGAAATAAATTTTTAAAAAGTGAGAATATTTTCTCTTTTAAATGCCCATCTTGTTTTGTTTTTGTAGCTTGAGAAGCTTGATACAGAACTGAAAAATTATAAAAGTAACTCAATCAAAGGGAGCATCATGTAAAAGTCAGTTAATGGTGACTTAGATTTTGCATTTTTATCCTTAAACCAAATCACCGGATGGTTAATTAAAGCACTTGTTACATGTACATTGTTTACACTAGTGAATCAGTCTTTATTACTCTCAGATTCCTCTGACCCCTTTCATGGAATTGTGTGCATGTATAGCAAAAAACTTTTACTTTGTTCTGTGAATTGCAATCAAGAGACTCTTCCTTGATTTTATTACAAAATAATCATCTCTTTTTGTTTGAAAAATTTAAATATGGTGTTGACTTTGAGAGGCATCAAGTTGAACATGCATGATGCCTTTACATTATATTTAAACATTAAGGGTGTTCACCAGGCTTACTTAATGAAAATTATGAGTATAACTGTTTCAGTTTGTACACCATGTGTGTAGTTTTGCATTTGTTACTTACAAGAAATGTCTTTTATTTGGCAGACGTGGACATGATGATTTAGGGGATCATTACTTTGAGTGTGGAGACCTGAAGTTAGTTTTGTTTTAGCATGATTATTCACAAGCAGCTGTTATAAAATTTGTCCTGTTTTTTTTCTCTAATTTTGCTTTAAGAAATGTGAACTCAGAAATTAAAATAATTTGTAATTTTTGATAGTTCTACTGACTCCTCCCATTTACATTCACTACACATAAGACTATCACACATAGTTCATACAAAGATTGTTTTTCTCGAATAATTTAGGATTTTGTTCTCAGTAACAGTGTTTACCTGTTAATCTTTTAACTGATAACTTCTCTATTGTATCATATAGCAATGCATTAAAGTGTTACTCAAGAGCCAGAGACTACTGCACAACAGCAAAACATGTCGTCAATATGTGCGTTAATGTCATCAAGGTAGGCCCTGCCACATATTTTTTGCTATCAATATTAGTCAGTTTCAACCCTGTTTGTAATCAGACTTTGTGCACATCATGGCAGTATACCAGTCACTTAAAGCATACAGCAAAAAAAACATAGAATTTGAATTACAAAAAAATGATTTTTCCCCTGAGAAAATCAAAGCAACAAATACAGTGATTGAATGATCATTTAATTAAGAACTACAATCCTTGGAAAGTACATGTACCTAACAAGACCTTGGAGAGATCTTTTCTCTATCAAAGTTATGAGAATTTTTTGTGTGTGATTATTATGAACAAGGAACTGAGCACTGTTCATTAATACAAGATATTTAACTGACTGTCATGTACATAAGTGTTTGTCGTTTTTCTTTGATTTGGAAATTTTTTCAGAGTAGTCATCCAATGTGAGTTTTTTCCCCCTTATTTCAAATGATGTATATCTGTGTCAAAGGAAAATTAAACTAATATAAACTTTTCTGAAAAAGTCAAAACCACAATATTATATGCTTTATATTTATTGAAAGCTGAATAGCTGCATTTATAAGAAATACTTTTATTAATCAAAGTATACAATGTGGGTTGGCACTTCTCTCTAAGTTTGCAAAAGTTAAGAACAAAACACAGACATGGTGCTTGGAAACTAAGCAGACTTTGAACTTGACATGATGACTCAATATCTGCTCCGGATAATAGGTTATCATGTCAGCTTCACATGCTATAATTGAATATTGACTGCATGCTCTCCACCACTGAGAGTTTTCATAGTAAGTCTAATGTATATAACAATGTATATGTATATTGTCTGCTTTTCATTTTCATGCCATCTGCATCCAAACCAGTCAACAGAGCAATGAAGGCACCAGATTTTCAAAAATCAAAATTTTGTTATTTTCTAATTTTGTAGCAGAAAGATAGAAAACCAAATCTGGTGACTCTAACCAAACTGAAGTGTGCTGCAGGTATATCTATCTTTTGTCAAGCAAGTTTACAAATAATAATTATTATTTAAGCACTTATAATCACTAAAGACAATTTTAACTGATCCCCACTCATAATTATCATAATTTTTCTTGATAGGCCTTGCAGAGCTTGCTACTAGGAAGTACAAATCAGCTGCCTGGAATTTTGTACAAGCTTCTTTTGACAACTGTGAATGTCCAGAGGTTGGTTTTCATATAATTTGGGACAATGCTAAGTCCCAGATGCACATGTTTGTGATGGTCTGTTGCCTGCACCACTGCCATTGGCAAGTGTCAAGATAACTATCTAATGTACACAATGTCTTATTTTCTTTTGCCTACTCTGATCTCCCGCATAGCATTTAACATCCAGTAATTCCATTTTTTTGTTGTTGTTGTTGTTTTCTTTGTCCTTTTTGTGAAAAGTTAAATCCAAGAGTATGAGGTGAAAGTTTAAGGCACATCATTACACTCATTATAGATCAGCCTTGATTTAATATTTTGTATGACATGGTAGAAATCTTGAATATGGTGTACACTGTAGGTGTATGTGAATAGAATCTTAAGTACAAGTAAACATTCTTTTTCTTTTCTTTCCCTGGTTTTACATTGCAGATTATTATTCAGGTTATGCCTGATTGCACTTAAAATACTATGAAGTATAATGTTCCATTTCTAAGAAACAAAGCCTTTCGTGAAATCGAACTGTTGGTAGAGATTATGTCTTAATTTCTTTAATAAAGCATATTTTATTCCCTTTTATTCATATTGCGACCTTCATGACTGAATTTTTTTTTTTTTTTTTTTTTTCTTTTAGCCACAGTGATCGTCGCTGGAGGTTTTATATCTGTCAAATTAAATCAAACACTGGGAGGAAAAAATAATGGAAGAATTTTAGATGGATAAGAAACAACATCAGAAGGGATCAAGCGTGGGGCATCTTAAAGTAGATATGATTTATAAGGGTTTTTTTTTATAGGGCAATGAAATAAAAATAGTTCTCTTGTTGGCCGAAACAGAGGGAGATAAAATCATCACACGAACTTCTTCAGGTAGAAAGGGTATAGACACCGGCGAGCTCCTAGAAATCAGACTTATTATATCTGAGGTTTCTTTTGTAAGGTTTGGCTCTTTTAAGTTACTCTTGAGCACGGCTAAGGAAAAGGAAAGAATGTCGTAGGTTTGCGACCAGGAATATCACTGTGCCAGCTTTAGAAGTATTTTCATTAGATTATTATTATCATTATCGATTTGATCTGATAATTAACGGGTAAACGTAAGGGGAGCTAAGCTTTGCGTTTCGTAATAAACACTTGCTAACATCTTCAAAGTTTCTAATTCTACGTTTTTGGTGCTTTTTTTAACCTGGGTTTGGCAGAAAGAAAGGGAGGTTTATACCGCATGAAAGTCTACATGCCACGATCTCTTTTTAAATATTTCTAACAGATGACCTCGAGGGGAAAAAGGGACTTTCTTTACCATGATGTTGTATCGAACCCTGTTACTTCTCCTGTTTGAACCTGATTTATTCATTTTCGTTTTTGGTTTATGGGTGTGACTTAAATTAGGCCATTTTCAATGACCCCTTATGGCTTTCACTGTTATACATGGCATTACTTCATATGGAATTAAAGAATATCATACCAAAGAAAAAATAAAAAATAACTACTTGAAAGCGGGAGACAATGGAAACAATAAAACCGGGGGAGATCTCTCTGGGGTATATGGGTCACTAACTTGAGCCACTAATGTGGAATGGGGAAATATTTCCATCATTCTCATGAGGCCTTTAAGGAGGCGAGATCTTGTTGCCTCAAACCCATTCTCCTTTGAAAAAGAAGTGACGTAGGAGAAATGTGCACCCATAATGGATAATAAAACGTGCTTAGCTTTGCCTTAAGAGTTACTTCGCTGCAGCAACTCAATTTAGATCATATGACGACTCATTTGAGTTGTTAACATTGTAAATTGTCACATAGTCCTTATATAAAAGAGAATTCCAATGCCTCACTGATTCTTTGTGGTTTTCGTGACTCGCGCACGCTTGTGGCTTTGCGTGATGTGCGATAACTTGAGGACATTCACAGTTACCGCTTTTCAAAAATCAAGATCAAAATAACACAATAAACTGATAGACCTAAGATGACGCTCGGCTAAACAAACAACCAATTATTTGAATACGAATGAAGTACATTTGTCATAAGTTTATCAGACTTATTTAGACAAGTTCCGCACCATGCATCCATTGATATTTTAAATCAAAATGACAGAAAATACCTTCTATCTTCCTGATAGATTAATCTATTATTTTGGTGTGCAATTGAACCAAGAAGTAGTGGATTACTCTCAAAGCGCTTTCCTCATAATTGAAAGCTATCCTGTTATCAAAAAGTAGGTATTAACAATAGTAATAATAATAGTAATAATGATAATGATAACATATTTAACCAGGGTAAACCCTTCAGCTGAAACTGTTATAAATATCAACAAAGCAGTGAGTCACCACAGCAATTCCTGCTCCATTCTTTGGACCTGCGTAACAAGGTAAATTTCGCCAGACAGGAATCGGGTTGTAATTTTAATTACGGCCTTTCGCTGATTCAGAAGACATTTGTAAAATCCTTCGAAACTGGTCCTCATGATGATATTTTGGCATCCAACTTAAGAACGACCCCTCGTACCCCAGGGCTAACTGATGAGGAACTTATGAAACAAGTTAATGAACTAACGACACCCAACAAAACGGAGTACAAGTATCAGGGACTACAGAGCCAGTCCAAACAGTTATGAAGGGTTGGGAGGGGTTCCGATGGGGATTCCCTTGCATATCAGGGACATAGACCTGGAAGGTCTGACACCTGGTCAGAAAGAAATGACTTTAAAGTTGCTTACTGAGGAAGCTGATTCTTTTGCTAAAGATGATAATGATGTAGGATGCATCCCTGACCTTAAACTTGACCTAGATTTAGAGGACCAGACACCTGTACAGAAGAACTATGTAGCAGTACCTTAACCACTCTACCCAGAGATGAAGGCCTACATTGAAGATTTGTTAAACCGGTATTTTATTAAGAAATCATCATCCTCGTACAGCGTACAGAGAAAAAAATATCAAAGCATACGGCTGTGCGTGGATTTTAGAGCACTGAACAAAAAGACACGACCCGACCGCCACCCGATACCCCGAATACAGGAAATGCTGGATAACCTCAATGGCTTGTCATGGTTTTCTGTTCTTGATCAAGGGAAAGCTTACTACCAAGAGTTTATGATTTCAAACAGCCAGCCTTTGACAGCCTTCATTACCCATTGGGGTCTCTATGAGTGTGTCCGGATACCCTTTGGTCTTTCCCGTGCGCCTGGATCATTCCAACGTTTTATGGAGAACTGTCTGGGAGACTTGAGAGACAGTAACTGTGTACCCTACCTGGATGATATTATCATATTCAGTGCCACCTTTGAGGATCACATTGAAAACAGACGCAAGGTTCTTCGACGACTAAAAAAACATAGAGTCAAACTGAAACCTCGAAAATGTAAATTGTTTGAGAGAGAGGTTGCATTCCTTAGGCGCATTGTGTCGAAAGAGGGATACAAACTAGATCCATCCAGCATTAAGCTTGTACTTGCACTCAGAGACTCGCCTCCAAAGACAGTTAATGAAGTGTGCAGACTTATGGGTTTCCTGAACTATTACCGGCGGTATGTTAGAGACTTTTCTAGAATCGCCACCCCTATCCATGATCTGGTGAAGACACGTAGTCGTCCTCCACAGGAAGTTAAGCGGGATAAATCTACGAAGGAACGCAGTGACGATGGCCAATTACCGGCAAAACACTGACATTCATCAATCTGCCTTGCGGACTCTTATCGACTCAATCAAAAGTGCTCCAGTAATGGCGTATCCTGACTTACAGAAACCATTTGTTCTCCATACAGACGCCTAAAAGGATGGCTTAGGCGCCGTGTTGTATCAGTATCAGGATGACATTCTCCGTGTTGTCGCTTATGGGTCGCGCAACTTGACCCCAAACGGGGAGAATTACCATCTCTATCCCGGGAAATTGGAATTTCTACCCCTCAAGTGGGCTATCTGCATCAGTTTCGAGAATATCTCTACTACGCACCAAATTTTAAAGTGTTCACCGAAAATAACCCACCCATCTATGTATTATCCTCTGCAAAACTGAATGCCAGCAGTTTGCGCTGGATTGGAGAGTTAGCCGATTTCAATTTCACTATACACTATCGCCCAAGAAAAGCCAGCATTGATGCCGACGCTTTATCTCGAATGCCCTCTGTTGACACAGCTTATACAGAAATAGTACCACAGTATGTCCTTCAGGCCGCTGCATGGTCAACAAAATCTCAAGACCAAGGACAAAATAACTGGGTGTCCACCCTTACAGGAGACCACACGGTCCTACCAACTGACCCACTTAGAAGTGAAGAATCCACAGGACCAAGGATAGACCTCAAGTACGCACAAGTCACTGACCAGGTCGTTCGTCGGGTGAGTGATTTAATCCGGCGTGGCCAACGACCACCAGAAGCAGAGAGAAAACGTGAGTTGAGTGAGACGTAACTTCTGAGCGAACGGGGTGAACCGGGAAACTGCGCTCACATCGGAAGGATCAGATTCACATAGTCGTTAACCGTAAGGGAGGAGATAGCCTTGTGTATGAAGGCAAGCCCGAGGCTGGCTCTGGTGGGAACAGAACTTCGAACCTCACATAGGAGCTTGCTATTGCCATGCAATAATCTTCCTATTAACATCCCAAGCAAAACAGGTCAGAATAGAGAAAGAAGGGTGCGGAAGGATAAGTGTAACACTGCTCGTCAGATACCTTTACCACAGGCCGAAGACTTATCAAATGATACAGAGTGTATCCTATGGACGGGAGATGCTACCGTGAATTTCAGTTGCTGCAGCCTTTTATTAGAGATTAATAAGTCAGAATCCTAAGTAGTACATTGTTGTGCAAGAAGATATTTGTAATCTTCGGTACCAGTTCCCTTTACGGGCGTAAAACCATTCAATGTGTGCTATTCAAATACGCAGTTTAGGTGCAAGTGTCAGGGACGACACTTTTCTTCGGGGGAGTTTGTTAGGGCGTATACAAGTGGAAACATACGTTAAACGTAAACGGAAATAATCGTAACGGAAATGCATAACACATGACGTGTGACGTATCACTTACATCTGGGAAAGTAGTAAAATTGATGTATGAGTGCTCTCCTCTGCTTGTATGCGTTAGTTGGAATAAGAAATACGTATCTTGAAGTGCTATTTGTTTTATTGGTCTTTACTGTAGTTTTATGGGGTACGGGTAACGAAGGACTTTCTACAAATTGGTCTGGCGTGGCTCGTTGATTATTTTATTTTTTTGTAGCCCCAAAAGCCCGGCTTATGACGCTGGAGGTACTATGCACTGATTTATTTTATTGTAGGAGGAGGTTTTTTTACATGTATTTAACATTTCCAAATTCATAAATTTTCTTTTCATCCTTGCCTGCAAATAATTAAACTTTCTTTAAGTTATAAAACAGAATTTCATTGGCTAGAGTTCTCTTATCATGGACATTTGGCCTCAAACCTACATTATAAGTAGTTACAGCAGAGGTTACCGAATCAAATAACAGAAAAAAATCTCATAAAGATGCCGTGTATTTTCAGCCAGAGGACAATTATGAAACAATAATATACAGCCATAAGAGAAAAAGTTAAAAAAAAACAGGTTCAAACACGAGTTGAAAGTCACTTTCTTTTTAATTTTTATGCTTATGGGAAAAACGGTGGGGTAAGCAGTCATACCTGGCAACTTCAAAAAAAGATATAGGAGAAGCCCGTACAATTCTGGCATCTTGATTTACTAATTCACTGTTCTCACGTGTAATACTCTTCAATCGACCGGGAAGAAGTTTACTGTCGTTTCTTTCAATTTTGGCTCATTTTCCCAAACCAAAATTATCAGTCACGCTCAAAAGAATATAATTTCAACTGATGCTGACATCGCACACTTTATCTGAAGAGGAAAAGATTCCCCATCATCGAAAATTTGCTCAAAACATCAGGAACAAAAACGAAGGTCCTCAGCTGCTTGGAAATACCACTGACTAGCACGAGTGTTGATCACTTTGCAAGTTGTGAGAACGTCGTCCCCAGGTTCCAGACCTTGTCAATTCTTCCCTTCCCTCCCCACCCCCAGAATGGTCCCTAAATCCCCATTGAAAAACCTCTTCAACGGCCAGTGCTGAAGAGTTTCATTACAGTTTTTATTATAATGAAGGGCTAGAAAATAAACTAACGAGAGCTTCGCTTTTAGGCTTAGCTAAATCTATATATTACACTGCCCTGATTTTCCATCCGCCGCATTGCCTAGAAACGAAGCTCAATTGCTAGTCGAGAAATAATATTTTACGTTGTGATGAGAGAAAAATGATATCTGGTTTTAGTTTATCTTAGGAATGAATAGATGAGGTCAAGTGATATTAAAAATAGTACCAGTAATAAAATAATCTCCATTCAAGCCTTCAGACGTAACGGAGATTATTGGTTGCGTAGAAACTAAAGGTTTTGGTTTCCGCAATTGGAACTTAAGCTTGCTAAATACCACCTCTTGAAAATTCGCCTGCGTCATTTGGCGATGAAGTTAGCTTGCGTATATAGGTGAATTCCTTTAAGGCCACGAATGGACAAACCTTTTCGTGAATTAATTTTCCTTCTACTCCGATGATTGCTACACACGGAAGTCTGACTGAGCTAAGTACACGCATCTTGCAGCGACCAAATAACCGATTGGAAAAGGAAACCTTTCGCGACCGTGAAGTAACTGGGCTGTCGAGAGAGAGCTTCAGGTCAATATTTTGAGGTAAGAGTTTGTGGATTTTATTCCATACTGAGCTCTTTATTTCTGCCTCTTACATCTTATGTTTAACACGTTTGTAGCCACCTCGAAGAAATCTGCTCCGCGCAAGCAAACATTTTCGCTAAATCAATATTTGAAATCAAACATGGCCACCGATTAACCATGAAACTACAAATAGATGCTCATTTGGGTGGTGAATAATGCACATACAATCGAACGATCGATCGGAACTGAACGAGTTTAGTCGAAATCCGAATGCTAATTCTCCGCTTTCAACCCGATTCATTTATTTATTTTGTGTTTCGTGTAAAGCTAGACATAGGCTATTTTCAATGTCATCTTATCTTTCATAACTTTTACTTCGATTAAAAAGAGATCAAACCAAGTACAAAAATCCACTTAATCAAGAATAACTACCTGAAGGCGGAAGTAAATCGAAACAAAGTTTCTTGGGAGGGACCCTGAGGTGTATGTTCTACTCTTTCCATTAGACTTCTAAGGAGAGGAGACCGATCTGCTCCCCCCCCCACCCCCCTTACATACAAGAGATGTGTACTAAATGGGTAACAAATTGCTGTACGCGACCATTACTTCTGTTGCAATTCAGATCATATTATGGTTATTCGTGACTTGTGCACGTGTCACGCGGTCTCGCGTGATGTGCGATTACTCGATGACATTCTTGGTTGCCGCTTTTTGCAAATCAGAGATCATAACAATACAATGAACTCAGTTGAATAAGTCTGCGCCAATTATAAGATCTCTATCACTTATATGCATGAAATTATGCATGCGACTGAACTAAATTTGTCAGCAATTAATCTTACTAATCCTGACAAGTTCCGCACCATAGAATATAACGACATGTGATAGCGCATACAAGAATGACAGAAAATACTGCTTGATTAGTTGTTTCGGTATGAAACCAGGAGATAGCGCTGTTTAACATAACTGGAAGCAGCACGGTTCTATCTATTGATTTGTATATGGTTTTATTCTGCTGACTCATGTGGTGTAAATAGAAATTGAAAGAGGAGGGCAAAAGGTTAAGATTTCGAAAACAAAAGTCTCTGGATGCTGCTACAGTTTAGAACATACTGTTTTGCATATCGGTATGCGTTGATTGATTTGTCTTAAGTGGAATAGAGAGGCTTGAAAAACATTCCGCTTGTATCTTAGTGCTTGATGACTGTATTCATCGCCATTTACCCTTGAGACCGAAACTTATATTGACTTAAAGCGATTTATTCAACTTGCAAAAGGATCAAATTTGGCCCTGCTCAAAGACAATTGGTTGGTGAGCGCTTTGTCGGTGGGTGATCAGGCTCTCAGTCCACGAGGTAAGAGTTTCAACTCTGGCTGCGTTTTATTTCCGAAGAGAGATCGATTACATCCGTATCTTTCGCATTTTGCTCGTTTGGCTCTCGAATTAGGCAGTATTGATGCTTTGGCTTCTATTCCGTTAACCATGGTATTAAGGTTTCATAACTTTTTGCATTTCGAAACTGTAGGATCATTGACGCTTGTAGTTGTGGTTAGGACATGGTACCATTAACATTCAAGCAGCATGTTGAGTTTTATCGAGCCTGATCAAAAAAAAAAAATGAGAGGCATGAAATGGTTCTTTTGAGAACAAAATTAACCATCTTCATAGTTAAATGGGTTTGATTAATCGTGTGCCTCCAAAAAAAAGCAAACAAACAAACAAGTATAAAAAGTTTGATGCCTTCAGAGAGTAAAATACGAAGCGCTCGCAATCGGAATATAATAAAAGTCACCTTACATGTCACTTAACTGGTTAATTCTATAAATACGGCTATCAGCTGACACGGAGAAAACAGCGTTGGTTAGTTTTGACACGTTCCGAAGGCAATATGGTCAGTGCGCGAACCCCGAAATGTAATCAATGAACTTTTGCTAGCAAACATGTTCACCAATTAATTAACTTAAAACACACAGACAATTCATATAACAAAGCTTGCACAGTTGCAGCAAACTGTGAATAATGACTTAACAACAGCTTGAGTAAGCCTTCCCTCTGTTGGTTTCTACAAGCGTCTCCTCGTTAAACTGACCAAGCCTTATGTGACTATGTTACGTCACACTGGCAGAAATGAACTGACGCCGACAAACACTAGAAAACAAGAGGTCACCCCACTCCTCCTCCTTCCTGCCCCTGGGAAGCCCTCATAATCTAACGATTCAAACCATTGTGCGTGCACTTTTAAGTGTTTCACACACCACTGAGCATTTTAAGCATAAATTTATCATACAGATAAATTGAATATTTGTGGTTTCTTTTTAAAAAATTGTTGAGATCACTTCGAGTTTACTTTACACACAGTAATTATTTGTGAAGATATCGGTGAAAAGTGTTGTAGGATATCCTTTCCGTTCAGGATGTGGAACGGTATTTATCACTAAACCTCAGTTATATAAAAAATATGTTCTTAAAAACGCACCCAAGGTTGTAAAAATTGACATTTGCCGATTGTTCGAAGAATGAATAATCCGTTTTCGCTCTGAATAAGTCACCGTCAAGCGGATAAATACTGCCCATATTGGTAGTTCAGAAGATGTATAGTGTTATTCACTCCTCATCCCATGTACGAAGAATTCAAACTAAACGGAAACTGATTGTATTATTAACCTAATCTGCCTCTATATGTCTTTTACATTTTTTTTTTCTAATTTCTGCAAAGGTTCTTCATGGCCTCAGCAGCGGCCCCATCGTTTCGTTCAACTAAAGAGACAACTAATTACGCCCGGTTATGCAGGCTTCTGGTGGATGTCAGTGCATATATCCTGAGAGAGACATTTGACAAGAAGCGTCCGCCAGGAAACCTGGATACGGTTTTGTCAAGCCCTCCGGTTCATGCGGTGCTACAGATACTCAAAAGTCGTAAAGTGCTGAATCCATCTCAATGGAGTAAACTATATCCTACCATCAAATCTTCAGTTTCATCAAACAATTTCGATATCACTCTTCTTATGGTTCTGCTGAGGAACATTTGTAATCTTGTTCGTCCAGCTACCGGCTGGGATACACTTCCTCCCGCAACAGACACAACCCTTGAGGCAGATATCGTTCGCATCAAGTGTTACAGAAACACAGTTTATGGTCATGCCAGCCAGGCCTCAGTTGATGACGCAACATTCAATCAATACTGGCAGGATATCCAAGATGCATTGGTGAGACTGGGAGGAGCTCGTTACCAAAGTGATATTGATAATCTGAAAAAGGAATGCATGGACCCTGATTTTATGGAACACTACAGAGAGCTTCTTAAACAGTGGGTGATGGATGAAGACAGCATTAAAGAAACCCTGGATAGGATAATAGAAGAACTAAATGATATGAAAGAATTCTTGATCAAACCTAAAAAGAAGACAGGACTGGAAGGTAACATTGCGCTCGATGCCCTTAAGATTAAACACTAGGTCTACAACTTCTTATTTGTCTCTTAATTTTCTCTATTTTTAGGGATAAAACAATTTTTAAAATTAACTGATACCAATAAAATGAAACACCAATTTCTCAACTGACATTATTAAAAAAAAAAATTTCTTTCCTCCCGACTCCTTGAAATGCAGTGGAAGTGGTTAATAGGGGCGTGGTAACTTCCTTCATGTTATGATGTGCAGACCCACTCATTTTGGAGAATTTAGGATTTCTTGAATACCAATAACGGTTTCTCTTAAACAAGATGTCATATGCATGGATGGGTTCGGCAGTAATATACGTTTGAATAGACACCTTCAGCATCCCCTTTGGTATGATAATTTTTCAGTTTCGTAAGACTCCCCCGGCTTAGCAAAGATACTGTTCATACTTCATGCTTGAGCAAAACGTATTATTCACGGAGAAAAGCTTTTAAACAATCTCGTGAAATCATTCAAATGAAAATTGCTTACCAATAAGTCGTCTATTTTTCTCTATGTAGTCGTCATTTCCATACCATTTACATCTCTGAACTTGATCCCCACCTCTCATTAAAAGCAATATCCGCATTAAACCCAAATATTTCCTAAAGAATCTTTTTAACTGATTTGTGACACTATTCAAACATCTAAAAAATATTTCGGAACTATATCAAACAAAATTAAAACATTTGGGTTTCCTTTTCAGCTGTAGAAGCATACACAAACGCGTTGAAAAAATCAATAAAAACCCAAACGGAGTTCCACAGTGTAGCTTCTCTCACCTCAACTAAGGTAAGAATAGATGACACGTACACCAGCCTTCTCATACAACACGGAAGAAAGCCAGTCGAAGACCCTGATGTGGGAAGAGAAAAACACCTTCAGCAGTACGGTCAAGTGAGTGGAAAACCAGTCACACACTGTCAAGACATTTTCATCTCTGACGCCGATTGTGAAGAGAAAAAGAATCCCAAAACTGTCCTCGTCACTGGGAAGGCAGGGATTGGTAAGACACTGTTCTGCCAAAAGTTAATCCGAGATTGGGCTGACAACAAATTGTTTCAATCCCAAACAAACCTAGCGCAACCACCTGACTTTAAGTTCGCTTTCTTGTTAACATTCCGTCAATTGAATTTACTTGGGGACGACCCTGTGAGCTTGAAGGATATCTTAATCCGATCCTCAGTGTTAGATGACGACTCAAATATTGACGAATCTTTATTTGAGTACATTTTTCATCATTCTGAAGACGTTTTGATCATCATCGACGGGTATGACGAATGTTCAAAGCAAAGTTTTATTACTAGTGATCTGGATGAACAGTATCCAAATGGTGCCCAAGAGGAAATGCCGGTTGCAGCTCTGTGTGCCAAGCTTATCAAAGGGAAAATCTTGAAAGATTCGGTTGTCATGATAACCTCAAGATCCGATGAATCTGATGACATAGAGGATAAAATTGGCTTTGACCGGTGCGTGGAAATCACAGGATTTTCTGAGCAAAATGTGAAGGAATACATCGCCAAGTATTTCAAAGAAAACGACGTCATGAAGAATGTTGTAATGGATCACATCACCAAGAATGAAAATCTTGTCAGCTTTGCCCACATTCCAGTTCTCTGTTTTCTAATGTGTTCCTATTTTGAGTACATCTTGCAGGAATCGATGAAAACTGATGCTCTCCCGGTGAACACAAGTGACATTTATTTTGAAGTGGTTAATATGTTTTTTAGTAAGCATGGCAAAACGAAAGGAACCACACCTGAAGTTACAATGGACAAATTGTCAATTCTGGCTGCTCAATTGCTCCGAGAGAAGAAGTATCTTTTCGCTGTCGAAGATATGAAGACATTTACTGAAGAAGAGGTTGAAAACTTACGAGCAAGCGGTCTTCTTCATTGCGGTCCCATGTTTAGAAAATCTTTCTCGGAAATGACGAAACATTTCTGTTTCACCCATCTGACACTCCAGGAATACTTAGCGGCCCATTGGTTTGTGAAGCACAAAAAAATTCCGTCCGGAGAAAATGCGTCAGCAATGGTGTTGCAATTTATGTCTGGCATTTTATCAAAACAAAAAGACAAAGCTTTTATGCATAAACTGCTTGAAGGAATCAGTAAGAGCTCTTCAGCCGAGCGTCCAGCAGGACTAATAATAACGAAATGTCTAGCTGAGTACCAAGACAAAGAATTTGCAAAAACTGTCGTGAAGAAACTTTCCAATCAGTTTAGTGATCGTGATGGAAATATTAAATTTCAACACTTGACCGATGTGGACTGCATTGCTGTATCTTTCCTGTTAGATGTCATAAATACATTAAATGTAGTAGAAACGCCTGAAAGGAGTCAAACATCTCCCCAACTGTCTCCCAGGCCGTTGGGCAGTCGACGTGGACTCTCTAGGCGTGTCACCCTGAGTGCAGGGGAAACTGCTGGAAGGAGTCAAACATCTCTTCAAATGGCTCACAGGCCGTTGGTGAATCGACGTGGACTCTCCAGGCGTACCACCTTTAGTGCAGGGGAAACTGCTGGAAGGAGTCAAACATCTCTTCAAATGGCTCACAGGCCGTTGGTTAATCGACGTGGACTCTCCAGGCGTACCACCTTAAGTGCAGGGGAAACTGCTAGAAAGATTAAAACGTCCTTTTGCCGGCCCTGTTGGGCACAACTGACTCTCTTCAATTGCCAAATTACACAAACTGGACTACGACAAATTTTTAAGGCGCTAAAGAAATGTTTCTGCACCGTCACTTCACTACTCCTTTCTGTGTGTATTTTAAACGAAGAATGTGTTGCAACGATCGCAGAATCGTTGCCAAGGACTAAGCTGATCGAACTGTCTCTGAAAGGAACTCGGATCACTGATGCCGGTGTTCTCAGTCTATGTCGAGTACTACAGACACAAACATGCAAAATTACCTCATTAAATCTGAGTGGTAATCAGATCACCGATGCCGGCGTTGGTAGTCTATGTCAAGCATTACAGACAGCAACATGCAAAGTAACAACACTATATCTGGGCCGTAATCAGATCACCGATGCCGGTGTTGCCAGTTTACGTCAAGCATTACAGACACCAACATATGAAGTTACTTCATTAAATCTGAGTAGTAATCAGATCACCGACGCCGGCGTTTGTAGTCTTTGTCAAGCATTACCGAGAGCAACATGCAAAGTCACAACACTAGATCTGGGCCGTAATGAGATCACCGATGCCGGTGTTGCCAGTCTATGTCAAGCATTACAGACAGCCACATCCAAAGTCACAACACTATATCTGGGCCATAATCAGATCACCGATGCCGGTGTTGCCAGTCTGTGTAAAGCATTAAAGACAGCAACATGTAAAGTAACCAAACTAAATCTGAGTTGGAATCAAATCAGTGATGCTGGTGTTGACAATCTATGTCAAACTTTGCAGAAGGCGCATTTTCAAGTCACCGCTTTGAACTTGCAGGGTAACTGTCAGATCACCAGTGTTGGTAAGAGGCGTCTCAAAAAACTTTTGGAGCGACAACCCCATCTTAACCTGTTTGGATTTCCAAAAAAGACTTAAAAGACAACAAAAGTTATTAGAATAGTTGTTTACAAAGCTGCAAAAGTGTAGAAACAGAGCTAACAAATATTAAGAATATATACTTTTGAGTAATTTCATCAAGCAATAGGTATCTTTCTCGACAGTCAACATATAAAATATTTATTCTCTAATCGCAGTTTCCAGAAACGTTCATTAAAAGAGACTGTGTAGACGAAACTGATGAATTTGAGGAGTCATAACGAGTGAATCTTTGGAATGGCTTCTTTAGCAGCTAAGAGAAGATTCAATCGCCAATAAATGTTGATATGAATGAAGATAAAAATATCATCTTCTAGAAAGATCCCTCTGCGAAAGCGTTTGCGCTTGAGGAAACGGATTCAATGGTTGATATCAGAATTTGCATTCATATCATTCAGTCGCTTAACTTCCGTTAATATGTGCGCGGCTGGTTCGAAGTATTTTATGGAAAGTAGATTAATGTCCATGTTTCAATAAATTCTTTACTTGTTCGTTATTGTTTATTGATGTTAAAGAGCATGTGGACGGTTTTTTTTTCTCATCATCTTAAAATAGTGATTAGACGCCGTGGTAAATAAACCATAGAAATTAATTTACGTTTTGTTACATTTGATAAACGATTGTTACGGAGAATACCCGCTTTGGAAAAGATTTTACTCTTCATTAACGAGCTTTTCAAAGGCCCATTTTACTGAGGCGTTCTTAAGGGAACGTTTCTGTGGTAAAATGGAAGCTTTCGTTATGAAACGATTGTTACGGAGAATACCCGCTTTGGAAAAGATTTTACTCTTCATCAACGAGCTTTTCAAAGGCCCATTTTACTGAGGTGTTCTTAAGGGAAAGTTTCTGTGGTAAAATGGAAGCTTTCGTTTCTAAATTAGGTAACGCAAAGAAACAGGAAACCACTGTTAAATGTGTTCATTGAATGGTTTGGGCGTGAAAAAAGAGTTGACGTGCGTTATTTGTGGATCACGAATTCACCACTGGGTCAATATCCCACCAACTTGACCTATCTCATGGTCAATAACGCATTTATTTCTATTTAATTTGTTATCCTCTCGGTTTCGTCAATCGTAACAAAATAGCCCCAGTCTCTTTCGCGGCTGTCTTACAATTCTTTTCCCAACAGATCAATAGTCAATCCATGTATGGGCCAATCACTAATAGCCATTCATTTTGGGAACCTCTCTCGCTAATTTCGCCTTCATATATGAATATTAACAAAAAAGGGTAAAAACAGAGACTCGTCCAACGGACACCGTTTTCTGTCGTTACCCACACGTGGAAAACAAACATCACAAATCAAGATGGGTGTGCTCTTCAGACGCTTGATTCTCATCAAAGCTTTTGAGATGAAAAATTTGCTATGAACAAGATTAATTTGACTTGCCAGTACATTAGAAGACACAAGATGTATTTCTACATGATGAAGAGCTTGTGTTTGTTTACCGCTGGGTTTTATTTTGGTGACATGCTACACGACGTATTCATCGATCTGTTGGTGGCTTTGGCACTCTATGCACTGGGACACAAGCAGGTTATCACAGCTCTTAGTTCGCGAAAATGCCCTTACCAGCAAGAATTGGTCGGTCCCATGAGGTGGGTAAAAGTTTTTTTGCAATCTTTATAGCGATTAGTATTTGAAAAGCGACAAGATCACAATTTGATTGTTCATTTAATGTTCAAAATAGCACTTTTATTCGATTACATGCATCGTAAACCCAACGACCGCGAGAGAGGAAATGAAAGTGCAATCAGCTGGACAACTCAGCTTTTTAACGGCTTCTGGATAATAATTAATCGACCTATTAATTTTCCGACGATAGCGTGTACATGCACGAGGACAGAGGTGTTGTTTTTTTACCATACACACAGTTGTGCACAATGTTTCGAGAAAGATGTTGTACATTTGGCACAACAATGGTACAATGAAGAAAATCTGAGTTTTACGAGAGGATTCGATCCTCAGGCTCTAAGACTTTGCATTCGACTGCTCTAACCATTGGGCTCGGTAGTGAGTCATGCCATACAGAGCACCCTGTTCAATTGTGCCAGGCATTCTTTATAGTCAGGTACAGTAGGATCAGCAATGTTGGTGCATTCGTTGTACAGAGTCATCTACTTATATAAAGTAAGAGAGATGATAGATTTTTGAACTTGGTCATGGGATAAAGAGAGAAAAAACCTCAATTTTAACTCCCATGATGAACCAAGGTAGAATTTCTCCTTACAATATCAATGCATTACCAAGCAGACAAGTGATGAGCATAGATAAAAACATCAATTACCGAGGGCATAATTAGTTGATCAAATATTACATTCTTCACACTTACATCATAAGAATTGTGTAATAGACAGAAAGGAGAATTACTAATTAGATCTTGGGAGTGAAAGAGTTAAACAATACCTTTTTGTTTTAGTTTGCAATGTAGTTGTGTATATTGTAATTTTTTTATTCATTCAGAACCCTATAGAACCCATGCAGGTTGACATAGCACCAGAGGGTGATCATCCTCCTTTAGAAGACAATTTCACTATTGAATCTGCAACTCTGGTAGGGAAACCTTAACACCTGTCTTTTAAAATAACATAGATCTAAAGTATTTTTTCTATGAAAGCATCACAGTGGGTCAGCATTCCTTGAATGCGATTAGCTGATTTGACATTCATAAACGTGATAGATTTTACAATACAGACCAGAATTTTCTCTGTGCCATTCAAAGAAAAGTAGAAGTCAAGCAAACCAGTAGAAAAAGATAAATCTAGATATTGGTTATTAACTAGTCTAGATCTACCCATTTTGCAATAAACTGTTTCCTCAGTCTATGGCCTCACCAACCAATTTTTTCCTACAATTTATTTACCTCCCACATAGTAGATAACATATATATAAACTTCACGAATTTTATAACTCCTGCTACTGTTTACATTGGATCTCTGATTCATTCCTCTCACGGGTTGCATCAAGGTGTTTTGCCAACACAATTCTTTTCTCATTTGAGCTAAAAACATTCTGTTTCAGGATCTTGATGTGTATGCATCAAACTATACCAGCCTTACAAAATTAAACAGATTGATGTTTGTTGCAAAACATTGTCCATCCCTTGAAGTTGATGCTTTAAGGTAAAGTGAAACTTGATTGTTACAGTATGTGACTGTGCTAAAGTACATTTCAATTGATTTTTTGTAAAAAAATCAGAACAAATACAGTTAGTAATGACAATAAAGGAACTATCAGGAGAAACAGTTTTGCCACAAACTCTTCCCCACACCTTTTTTCATGTGGAACAAATATCCCTTTGTTGCAAGTGTAGCTACAGCTAGATGTTGTAGTCTGTTCAGTCTCTTTTGGAAGAATTCAAAGGAGCAATTTGTTGCGAAAGAATTGCCACAACTTTTCAAGATCATTTGATGTATACCAGGAAACATTTAGCTGCTCAAAGCGTTGTGTTTGACTTTTATTTTGATATTGATATCTGTAGAATAGCCCTCAGTTATGTGAAACAAACATTCAATGTCCAGCTTTATCAGGAGATTGTGACACGGATGACAGAAGCATGGTAAGACATCTGTACATGTAGGTTAGTAATTGTAACCCTAAAGAAGTTTTGTCTTTTTTTCTGCTTGGAGACGTCAATCAAATGAAGTATTTTACATTTCCATCAAATTGTACCCTGATGAAAAAAGAAAAAGGGAGAGCAAGAAAAATAACATTATAAAATCATTTTTTGGTGTTGCTACTTTTGGCCTCATATACAGGTATTTCGATTTTGTGTTCAAGCCAATAAAGAGATTAATAATTTATCATGGGGAAACAATGCCTCAAAGTACTGTTCTACAAAAAATTGTATATTCAAAACTGCAAGCACTGCCAATATTTAATCTTGCTGTGGGAAATCTGAAGTATGGCTATATGTTTTGGCCCATCCATAAAGTTGGTTCTGTTACTTTGTAAATGAACTAATTTATATTCATAAAAGTGTGTATACGATGTGAGTGATTTCTAGGCATCAGCTTCTTTACACAATCTTAATCAATATTGCAGTAGCCGCAGTGAATTGGAATGCCCAGCTGTTGATGCCACCTGGATTGAAACTACAAGTAAAAAAGCTGCTCTCAAGGTAATTTATTATTACCATTTTGATGAGCAGTCACCTGCCAGCTTCCCACAGCTGTTATTGAAAGGTGACATTTCTTAGTCAGTTCATTCCAAAGGAGGAGAAAAAGAAAAAAAACAATTAATATCCACCTTAATTGCTAGTTGAACCTACATGACCATCCAATTAGTATTTTGGATGCTCTTCAATCAAGAGATGTAGGCACAACCCATACCAATTGTTATAAGAATTAAATGTCTAAAAAATGAAAATATTTTCTCTTTTAAATGTCCATCTTGTTTTGTTTTTGCAGCTTGAGAAGCTTGATACAGACCTGAAAAATTATAAAAGTAACTCAATCAAAGAGAGCATCAGGTAAAAGTCAGTTAATGGTGACTTAGATTTTGCAATTTCATCCTTAAACCAAATTATTATCATCAGATGGTTAATTAAAGCACTCATTACATTGTTTACATAAGTGAATAAGTGTTTATTACTCTCAGAGTCCCATTGCTTCTTTCATGGAATTGCTTGCATGTTACTTTGTCCTAAAAATTGTGAGCAAGAGACTCTCTTTTGATTTTATTCCAAAATCAAAATCTTTTGTTGTTTGAAAATTTAAATTTGATGTTGATCTTTGACAGGCATTAAGTTAAACATGATGCATTCACATAATATTTATACATTTAGGGTGTTAACCAGGCTTTGGAGATCAAAATTCTTTTTCTACTTTAAGTGGCCAGCTCTAATTTTCATTTAGATTTAGGCAGTAATTTTCTATTAAAGTAACTTTTCTATTAAAGTAACTTTTGTCCTCCTATCCCTGAGTATAACTGCTTCAGTTTGTACACCTCCTGTGTAGTTCTCTATGTAGTACTTACAAGAAATGTCTTTTATCTGGCAGACGTGGACATGATGATTTAGGGGATCATTACTTTGAGTGTGGAGACCTGAAGTTAGTTTTGTTTTAGCATGATTATTCACAAGAAGCTCTTATAAATTTGTCTTGCATTTGTTTCTGTGTATTTGTTATTAGACATATTAAGCCTTAAGAAATGTGAACTTACAAATAATATAGTTTGTAATTTTTGGTAATTCTACTGACACCTTACATTTACATATGTTGTGGCTCAATTCTATCCTTGGTTCAAATTTTATTTTCCTTTGTTTCAAACTACAATACCCAAAAACAAAAGAAAATAAAATTTGAACCAAGGATAAAATTGAACCACAACACATACATTGTACACATTGAAACTGTCACACATAGTTCATACAAAGATTATGTATTTTCCTGAATATTTCAGGATTTTGTTCTCAGTAACAGTGCGTACCTGTTAATCTTTGAACTGTCAACTTCTCTATTGTTTCATATAGCAATGCATTAAAGTGTTACTCAAGAGCCAGAGACTACTGCACAACAGCAAAACATGTTGTCAATATGTGTGTTAATGTCATCAAGGTAGGCTCTAACTAATTGACATGATGAGTCTTTACAGTGTTGTTGTCACACAATAACTTGTTTGTGTCTGTTTACCTTGCTCTATTCACCATGAGATCCCTATAAACTTTGTTGGAGGAAAACAAATTGTGTAAATTACAGAAAAGGATTTTTTCCTTGAGAAAGTCAAAGCAACAAATACAGTAATTGAATGATCATTTAATTAACAATTACAGTCCTTGGAAAGTACATGTACCAAACGAGGCCTTGGAGAGATCTTTTCTCTATCAAAGTTATGAGAATTTTTTGTGTGTGATTATTATGAACAAGGAACTGAGCACTGTTCAGTGATGCAAGATATTTAACTGACTGTCATGTACATAGGTGTTTGTTGTTTTTCTTTGATTTGAAATTTCTTCAAAGTAGTCATCCACTGTGAGTTTTTTTTCCCCTTATTTCAGATTATGTATATCTGTGTCAAAGAAAAATCAAACTAACATAAACTTTCTGAAAAAGTCAAAACCAAGGAAAGCTTTGAACCACAATATTATATACTTTACATTTACTGAAAGCTGAATAGCTGTTTTTATAACAAATACTTTTATTTACCAAAGCATACAATGTGATTGTTTTTCACCCACACTACTAATTTCTGTCTTCACTAACTTTGGTGGTTTTAGGTCAGTATTCACTTGGGTAACTGGTCACATGTGCTGAATTATGTAAACAAGGCTGAGAACACTTCAGAACTAGCTGAGGTAAAAATTAAAAAAAAAAAGTTAAATTGAGAATTTAATGTATTACCTAAATAAAAAAAATTAAAAAGTGTTTAAGAAACTGATACCAGAGTTTGAAGGCTGCTGGCCAGGTAAAGGAGAGAGATGCCAGCATCAAAAATGTATGCAACAAGTAATTATTGGATGAGGTTGAGCATGATATCATGAATTATCAATGCTGAGGTCTGAGTAATCCACCAAGCCAAAGGCTGAGGCTGATAACACAACTACATGGTTTTTCTAATTTTTTATATCATGTGAAAACCAAATTCAATAATTGTTTGATTATAGATTTTTTTTAAAAAATCTGCAAAAGAAGACACTTCTCTTTAAGTTTGCAAAAGTTATGAACAAAACAAGGACATGGTGCTTGGAAACTAAGCAGACTTTGAACTTGACATGGTGACCTAATATCTGCTCCAGATATTAGGTTATCATGTCAGCTTCACATGCTATAATTGAATATTGACTGCATGCTAAGTCAATGTATAATGAGGTATATATTTTCTGCTTTTTATTTTCATGCAATCTACATCCAAACCAGCAAACAAAGCAATGAAGGCACTAAGTTATCAAAATCAAAATTTTATCTTTTTATTTTGTAGCAGAAAGATAGAAAACCAAATCTGGTGACTCTAACCAAACTGAAGTGTGCTGCAGGTATATCTATCTTTTGTCAAGCAAGTTTAAAAATAATATTATTTGAGCACATACATGTATAATAACTAAAGAAAATTTTTACTGATCCCCACTCATAATTATCCTAATTTTTCTTGATAGGCCTTGCAGAGCTTGCTACTAGGAAGTACAAATCAGCTGCCAGGAATTTCTTACAAGCTTCTTTTGACAACTGTGAATGTCCAGAGGTTGGTTTTCATATAATTTAGGGCAAATGCTAAGTCCCAGATACACATGTTTGTGTCAGTCTGTTGCCTGCACTCCTGCCATTATCAAGTGTCATGCTACCTGTCTAATATACTCATCACAATGTCTTCATCCAGTGATTCCATTTATTTTTTGTTTGTTGTTTTCTTTGTCCTTTTGGGAAATAGTTGAACCCAAGAGTATGAGGTGAATGTTTAAGACACATCAGTACACTCATTCTAATATACGTCAGCCTTGATTTAATATTTTGTATGACATGGTAGAAGTCTTGAATATGGTGTACACTGTAGGTGTATGTGAATAGAATCTTAAGTACAAGTAGACATTCTTTTTTTTTGTTTCCCTGTTTTTACATTGCAGATTATCTCACCCAATAATGTAGCAGTGTATGGAGGACTGTGTGCATTGGCTTCATTTGACAGACAAGAGTTGCAAAAAAAAGTTTTATCAAGCAGGTACTGTACATGTCTCTCTTGAACTTGGCCGTCAGGTCAGATTAATGCGACCACATACGTTAAATGTAGAATTATAAAATTTTGGACCTAGAAACCACTGAACAGATGTAGTTTTATTAATGTGAAGAGGATTTAGAGTGATAAAAAAAAAAAAAAAGGGAAAAAAGGAAATGAAATTGATTTTCCTGCTATGTAGCTTTGGCTACCAGGAAATGGCTGTTGGTTGACAAAATTTTCAACAAAAATGGCCCAAGGACTAAAATTGTAGTAGAAGTTAAACTGCATTATCATGCAATTTACCTTTTAATTATGTTGAAAGTATAATCGTTTAAGTTTGAAAAGAGAAAATATTTAAATACCTCATAGATTCGCCCTTAAAAAGTTTCATAGATCAGCTAACGCCATGTAAAAGTCATAGAGAGAACGCTGGTTTGAAACTAAATTTAAATTCTGTTATGTTTTTAGTTCGTTTAAGCTTTTTCTTGAGTTGGAGCCACAACTGCGAGATGTGTTGTATAAGTTCCATGAGTCGCAGTATGCTGCCTGTTTGAAACTTTTGGATGAAATGAAGGTACATAAGATTTGTGGAAAATAAAATGTCTGCTTTGATATCTCTACTAGAATGAAAACAGCAGTACATGGATGGGTTTAAATCTTGGGAAAAGTGGAATTGTTGATTTAGAGAGGCTAAGTCGAATACTGAAAAAGTCGTATTTATTTACTTTACAATCGTAGCTTACAGTATGTTTTCTGGCATTAAGAGCATATAGACCTCGTATTTATAATCCCAATTATTATTTTTCGGATTTTTAATTTTCAATAATATTAAAAAAATAATAACCATTATTATAATTATTATTAGTTTTTTATTGTGACTCAGTTTCATTCATCCTCTCGCCCCTTTTTTAAAATATTTTGGCGAATATTTTAATCGTGTGATTGTCGTAGTAACAGGGATTTTTCATCTAAGAGAACGCAACACACTGCATCGTTTTTAATGAAAATTTCATAAATTACAAAAGAAAGACAGAAACTATTGATTAACTTCAAGTTCCTGGAAGTGAAGGTAAAAAATGGGGAAAAAAAGATACTCGCAAATAATACACGACTGATTTATTAAAATGTATTTTTTTTCTTTTCATTTTCGTAGGATAACTTCATGTTAGACATGTACTTAGCGCCACATGTCAACACTTTGTACAGTCAGATTAGAAACAGGGCTTTAGTACAGGTTGGTAGCAGTTTTGAGAAGTTCAATTAATTGGAAAATAAACGAAACAATGCAACCTGGTCAGAATCATAACTACATGTTTAGAAACATACTCGTTTAGAATTTATAATTAAATGTATGAAATTTAGCTCAACGGCTATAACCGAGTGTAAAACGCGAATTAAACGTGTCTTCATGTAAAGCTGACGTTGATGTGTTGGAGCGAAGTTCTCGCCCACGCAAGAAAATAGTTTATTGGGAAAATTATTACTTAGAGACGTGAGAATCATGGATGAAAGTGCCACCACACCACTCTCTCTCCCCCTTCTCTAAGAAGTTTAATGTAAGACACAGGAGCCTCCAAGATAAGCAAAGAGATTGATGTATAATACAAGTGTTAAAAGTTCATTGCTTTCGTTCGATCATATCAGTATTCTTGAAGAGAATGTGCCATAAGAGAGTTTTTTTGTTGTAAGGGGAAATTACTGAGTGATCACTTTGAGGGATGAAAATGCTTAAGTCCTTCTCTGTTCAGTCACTAACTGATCTGTTTCCTTATTTCAGTACTTCAGTCCATATGTGTCGGCGGATATGGAGAAGATGGCGCATGCGTTCAACACAACTGTTTCTAAACTTGAAGATGAGCTGTCAGAGCTGATACTTGACGGGCAGATACAGGCCAGAATCGATTCACACAACAAGGTTCTGTTCGCGCGAAACGTTGAACAGAGAAGTGTCACCTTTGAAAAAGCAATAGAAATGGGAAAAGATTATCACAAAAGAACTAAGGTTAGTTCATGTCTGAGGAAATGTTTTGTCATCAGAAAAACATGATCCTTGAAAAGATAGCATTCTTTGGTCAGAGGAACACGTTACTAATATTTTGGTGGGACCCTTCCAATTCTGAGTGACCACTGAAATTGGTTGATTTCAAATTGTCTCGAACACACATTTTCAAAACTGCAGTGATAAAGCCAAATCGTTCCTAAAATGTTTGTGTGATTAATACTAGGGCTTTTAAATTACATTTTAAAATTTGTTTTTAGAGACATGGATCTATTTTTTTCACTTGTTATTTGCCATTTCAGGCCTTAATTCTTCGTGGTGCCATTCTGCGCAACCAAATCGTCGTCAAAGTAAGAAACATTTTGTCTAATTCACAATATATGTAACTTGCATTTGTTTTGATTTTTAAAGACAAACTTTACCGCAATGGGTTAGTGTTTTGTCTCGTACACAAAACTTAAACCATATGAAAACCAGCTAATGCACCAGGATGAAGACAATTTAACTGATTTATTCTTATTATATTCAAAATGTACTTAATTTAGTCATGCACTTTTAAATAAGGCTCTTTTTTATTGCATTCACAGAGCCCTCCACGTGAGGCAAGTTCTGGCGATGTGTCCATGCCGGTTACACGATAGGGGCTCTCGGAGCTTTTGAAGTTCCTTTGATGTTCACTAAATTTCTTACTGGTGTTTGATGAAATCAAATATAATTTCTTTAGTTGAACATTGTAATGGTTGACCTTTTTTTTTTCACTCCCAGGAAGGTAATTTAAATAAATTGTTTGGTTCGAGTACACTGTACGTGTCGAAGCTCTTAATTTATTCGCTCTGGGGGTAGTTAATGGTGGCAGTTAATTGTGGGTGATTCTTACATGCAAAGTCGAATGGTCGAGTGGATGAAACCCTAGCCTCTGAGCAATGATTTTATTTATAGCTGTTTATTGTTCTGCAGCAGATAGTCCCAAGTATGGTTCCAATAAAAAAAAGAATGTTTCTACTAGCAAATTGGCCACAGCACTCAAGAAAACGCTATGCAACCCTTAAACTCTCAGAAGTGATTAACATGTAACTTCTCCCTGCAATATCTAAACATGAAGTTGTTATTTTGATCTAACATTAAATTCTCGGCTAATTTACTAAGAAATCTGTAGCACTTAGAGGAAAGAATTACAGATCACACGCGTCCTGTATACTGTTAGGATCAGCAATGTCGATCAAAAACTTACCTCTTCTCTCTTATTTCTATCTGCAAACATTACGCTATCGACATTGCTGATCCTAGCAGTATGCAGGACGCGTTTTATGTAAACTCCGTAATAGACCTCGCTCACCGTGGAGTCTCTGTGGCTCAGTGGTAGAGCATCGGAGCGCGGAATCCGAAGGTCTAAGGTTCGATTCCTCATGGGAACTCAGAATTTTTTCCTTTGTCCCACGCTCGTGACAAGACGAAAAAACAATTTTCTCAGTTTATTCCTTTACCGAGCTCTAAACTTACCATCTCTCCTATTTCTATCTATTTACGATATACTTTAAAAAGGTTTTATTGAAGCTTTCTAAGTGGGTTCCATTTCAATACTCGCTGGTAATCTATCAGGAGCTATGAGTATTGTCAGCTTTGAATTAATAATCGAATCAAACCTCTTTAATATATTTCAAAGGGTACAACATATGTTTATATCTTTATTAAAATATACAAAGAAGAGGACGATAACTTTGAGAAAACCTCCTTTTCCCAACGTTTACTCGAAAACAACAAAATTCTACAATTCTATATTTTTTTTTTCTCTTTCCCTCCTTTTTGTTTCGTTTACTTATCTAAATTTAGAAAATCCTAAATGCTATCCTGTGCTGAAGCTATTTGAATTTTTAAGGCCTTTAAAAATTAATAACATACCCGCTGCTGAGACACATGATATTTACATAATATGTTTTAAATCCTCAAAAAACATCTGAAAGGTTGATAATCAGGAGAGTGCTGTTCCAGCCGATGTAAATCATCTGTCACCACGAGCAAACCACGGAAGGTACGAGTAAACCACGGAAGGTGCGAGTTGATGTAAGGTACAAAGTTTTTACTTATCAAAACAGCTATTGTTCTTTAAAATACAACCGTGCTGTGTGCAAAAAACGGTTTATTTGCATCGCGAGGTATTTGCATGTTCGTCCTCTGTCGAAATATCAAGGTACCTTTTTAGATTATTATCAGTGAAGGCATTGTGTGGGTCTTGAACTAACAACAAACGCTTTTACCTGGTTGACCTTGCTCTAAACTGTGCCTTAATTCTTTTTTCTCATCTAAAAAGACTACCTTTTCGCTGTTGAAGTAACAAAGCAGACATCAGCGAAGTTAAACAAATCAGCAGGTTGTGTTTGTATTGCGTTATTCCAAGCTCCCTGTTTCTTCAAAATTACGACGATTTTGCTTAACCCAGCCGTCATTACTCGCAGAATCGGAAATAAACCTGCTTGTTTAACCCTTTCATACCAAAGAGTGTTGTCATCATTGCAGGTAATTTAGTGTTAACAACTGAGTTGAAAACGTAAATTGGCCACCGTAAAGAGTAAAAAAGCTGACGTTTCGAGCGGTAGCACTTCGTCAGAGCGACGCAGCACCACAGTTTCTTTAGAAACTTACCCCCTTTATTCAGTTGTCATCATTACCCGTGTTTTTAGATAGGTGATGAACTTGGGAGTAATTGTGACTTACCGCAGAGGCAGGAATGCTTCGAAACAGGTCTAGGTAGCAGCATGATGCAAAATTTTCAGATTAAAAAATTTGTAAAAAGTTATGCCTTTTAAGCTAAGAAGCCGTTATCCTGATTGGCCACGTGAAATACTGTGAAATCTCGTTTCCTAAACAAACTGATTCGGGGAATTTGGAAAAATTATAGTTTACTCAAGAGATAATATGTCAATCTGGTTTCCAGTGTCGCCTGGTAATCATAATGTTTAATGGATTCCCACTGTCATTTAATCCAAAATTTTTGTCCAAAGTCCGTTAACGAATTCAGATGGGTGTCAACGGTATCGGATTGTTTTGAAGCGTGAAGTCAGAGTTGGGATTTAAAAGGCCATGAATCTATAGATTAAGATCGAAGCTAGCCTTTTATCATAGATGCCAAGAGGGTCGAACGAAAAAAATATATTTTTTCTAAATGAATGCTTTTGTAACCACGAGATCCCGGGGAAAGTCGTAAATGTACTACGGGTTCCATTGGGGAGCGGTTAACGCAAGCTTAAGGTGCGTAGGAAGAAAGGGCTTGGTTGAGCTGTTCAATAATCAATTCATTCAAGATCCGTCCTAATTATGCCTGGTAACACCGGTTTTCAGAAATTACGTTTTACTTCCTAGCTAATTATCGCCTTTAAGTTATACAGATTTGCTTTGAATTTATTTAATTTAAAGTAAAACGGGAACTACTTGTATTTCAGTCGAACTAACCATAAGGCTAAACCATTTTAGTTATGCTGCGGTTTTCAAGTGTCTCACCACTCCAGCCTGTTTTACCGCACTCAGTGGAAAGGTTTCTGAGATATCGCCTCATTTCGATTCTTATATATTTATTTATTTATCTATATACATGTACTGATTCATTTTGTTCAATTTTAGGTTTGTACTTTTTTTAAAATCTATTTCACTCTTTTCTCTCATGCTTTCATTCAGCTATTTTTCCATCTATGTATCCACGGTTAAATTTAAAAGATTTCTCCGTGTTCGTCTCGAGGATTTAGCTAAAGCTCCTTTCTGAATCGTTACTTGGCTGAGATCTCCTCTCAGTGAACATCCCTCATGAAGAAGCGGAAAATTTTGTGCTGTGAGCTAACGAGGACAGACAGGTTACCGGTTCGGTTAGATCAAATAACCGTCATTTAACAAGTAAATTATTTATTGAAATTTCCAGACGTTGAAAGATATGTATCACTTTCAGAATGAATCTAAATTTGTTCCTTGATGATGCAGTTGTGTAACAGAATCGTAAACAAAGATTGGAAATTTCGCTGTGCCATTGTCATCAAGAAAGCTTATAGATAATTCAGAAAGCTATCAATCTTTAACCATAGTATTTTTGATCGCGGTCAGTTTGTTTGTTTACCTCTTACGATTTATAGTGGACTTCTTGTCGTGTACCATAAGGGCTTGTGCTCTATAAAAAAAGCAAGGAGGCTATTCATATTGAAATTTTTTCGGTACCAGCGACGTTCGAGGAATAACGAAACTTTTATTTAATAGTTTTTGTATTAATTTTTGTAGACCGAACCGTTTGCAAAAAGCGGTGTTTTAACATTTTAGCACCGTGCCCTGATTCAAGGTGAAAAAGAAGGGAAAAATGAAGATTGAATAAAATGTATTCGTAATATCAAAAACAAAAGAAATATAATAAAAAAATTCAACAGTGATGAAATAATCATCTTATCACTGCTTATACATTAGTTTTAATCATATACTGAATAAAATAATACAACATTGGATATAAGAATATATTTTGTGATTAGGAACTGTTGTATTCCCGCCTTCGTCCCTCGAAATGGTGCTGGATTGATTAGAAACCGATTAAAAAACCCTTATCTCCAGTACAACTCATGTGCCTGTTAATGTGAAGAAAGTTTCGATTTTCGTTCCTCTATAAAGCAGTTTTAAGTTTTGAAAATTAAAAGACAATGATAGATTGGCAGGAGTACTAAGGAATTTTTAAATTTTAATTACTTTCGCAGCAATCATCAGACAAAACACATTAAGTTTTAACAGGCAAACAATTAGATCATCACCCGGGATTATATATAATCCAGAAAAGTTGGAGGCTGTAAGAAAACGCAGTAATCTTATGTCTGGAACTGAATTTGCTTCTGATGAAATTTTTTTCTGGTACCAGATGCCCTTCATTCATCAGCTTCAGTTTCTGGTAAGCTATATGTGCAAGTTCATTTGTTTAACGTAAATAATTTCAGCTAGTTTTTTCATTTGATCTTTACCAAAAACAAAAATAATATTTGTTATGGAAACTGGTGTTTATGTCTCCCTAAAAACAACAGTATCAAAAGGAGGGCTTACTAAGTTTTTATGGAGCTTCCTTACAGTTACCTTTGTTCATTGTTAACTCATGACAAATTTACATTGCATTTGTTGTGCAAATACTTCATTTCGTTTAAATTCTTAAATTTTTTTTGCAATGATTATACTGTTACATTACTAACTCTGATTGTTAACGTTAGAATTGTAGTCACAATACTAACATTGCTTACAGAATTAATTTTTCTTCTGTTTTCAGTGTTACACTATCATACGTTACAATGTGTACCGTTACGTAACAACATATTGCAATACACTACATTACAGTATATCAACAAATTTTAAAATGAAATAACCACTGCATTTTAGAAAATTAATTGTACTAAACAAACCAAAGGAAAAAACATAAAACAAAAATAAGAAAAACTAAACAGTTTGGGAAAAAAACTCCATTTCTTTCTAGCTCTTTACAAACGGGGATGACGTAACTCTCTCTCTCTCCTTTGCTGATTCTCTTGAGCATTTTTTCGAGGTTTTACCTAAGAATTTCCTTAGTTCCACGGGGTTATATGCTTTGTAGCTTACAGTGTGAAGTGTGTTTCACGTTTAAAACACTATGAAGCAGCACAGTTGTATTATGTTATTGAATTTTTCGCTTGCCAAGGGTTTGTGTGAAAATGCTCAGAGTTAAGTACAGAATGAAATGGCGATAAGGAAAAAAATGTCAGGAAAAAAAATAGTTGAAATATCATTTCTCTTCAATTTCTCTGATCTGAAATGAA